CTAATAAAAACAGTTTTTAGATTTGAAATTATGCCCGCATAGTGTCAGATTTTCCACTAAACAACCTGTAAGTTGAGTAATGTTTAGCGTGTTTTAAGTATAACTTATATTTTATGTTTATAATCGTTATGATGAACTTATAAATAAGATTTATCAATAATATCAGTCGTTATACTTATTGATTTACTTATATGAATGATGTCAAGGTAGGATCAGTGAGGTGTTTAAAGTAGATTTTCCAAATGATATATCTTTATATGCCAAACAAATTCTACCTCCGATACGATCTTACATGGGTTTTTCTTATCAACTATAAGTCAATATTTCATTTGAGATTATTGATAAACATAAGAAACTATAATCATAACCGTGAATAATATAAACGATGGGTGAACTTAGTAATATTTATATAGAGGTTCTTTTAAAAGAAAAATCTGAAGCGTATTTGGAGCAAGATTTAACTAAAGTCTTTCACCTTAAAACAAGTGAGCGCATAGTAACTTTTATCTAACATATAAATACAAAGTATCTAACTGTTTAAATATTATACGTGCTTATTATATTTATGATACTTGTGATAGAAATGAATTTACTTTATTTAAATTAGATTTTGTTGAAATATTGATTTACTTACTTTATCATACTTAATTTGTATGGGCTAGAAAAGGGATATGAAAGATAAAATAGTGATGTGAGGGCGTGATTATTATATTACTATTATACTAATGAAAAATTTATCTATCAGAGTCTAAATGATGACCACATATTATTCTAGATTGTCTAGTGAAACATTAGCAAACTTGCAATTTGTAAGTGTTAATGAATCGTGCATTCATTTGATGTACTCTATCCCCCATTGTTGCTTATTGACATGTATTAGTACGGAACCCCCAAAGCTATATTGTTTTACTTGTTGCTTACAGTGATCCTTAGGATAGGTTCCTTGAGATTATCATATTAGGATTAGGGAGTGAGAATAACGAAAATGAGTAATCAGGTTAATTATTTGGTGTGAAATATATATTTAAAAGATGTTAACTATACTACTGTGGGTTGAAAACTTTATGTACTCATTAGGCTTCCAAGTCCGACCCACAAAGTTTCTTTGTATCACAGGTAGTGGTACGAAGATACAAGGATAATGATATATGTTAAGAGATTTAAGGAGTTTAAGGTCATTATTTTAATAAGCAATTGTAAGGCATGTAATAAATAGTTTATGCATATGTTCTTGTATCAGTTTTGACATATGAGGTTTTAAATATTAAAAAATTTCTTAAAATGTTTTGACTCTAATTTATCTTTAAAGAAAATGTTTTGGGAAAAATTCTGCACTATTATAGAGAACGTCCAAATCTGACTTCGTATAAGGAAGCTATGATTTTTCTAAGTTTCAGCACAGCAGTGTGCAACACTGATATCGAAATATATAATGGTTGATTGTTGGGAAAAACAGTATAAAATAGAGTAGAAGATCTCATCCGTACCTATCCATCGATATAAAGATAGCCGAGAACGAATATCGTATGAGAGAGTTATGATTTTTACACGAACTTTAACAGTTTAAGCCTATAAAAATATAATATTAAAAATAAATCAAAATTAGCCGATGGAATCTAAATGAAAGTTGTATATGTCCTCGATAGCTACATATGGATATAAAACTCGTCAAAAATGAAGCTCATGTGAGGAAGATATGAATTTTCTAAGAAATCAGAAATTTCTGAGGGTAGCCGCGCGCACCAACCGGATACCTAATGCGCACTAACACTCCACCCAAATCGTGACACATGGCACCATATGATTTCGAAACGTCAACATACTCGAAAATTTTCGCGGCACCCAGGAAAAATAGGCGTGGCACGTATTTAATTTTCTGCTATAAATAGGTGCGATGTCCAACTCTTTCTTCACAGCTCTCACTCAAATTCTCTCCGAATCTCTTCGAAATTTTTAGGCCTTTTACTATCTAGTTCCTGTCTACTTTAGCGAACCCTTGCGGTGTCAGATATCTAGAGAATAGAAGCTCATAGGTTAAAGTTCTACCCATAATTCCTGTTTTTTTGTTAGGTTACTATGTAAGTCAAGCTACACTTATTTATTTTAAGTGTAACTTTTAATTATATTCACATTTATTATTATGAACCTATAATTAAGATTTATCAGTGATTCCAAGTCATAATAATATTGATCTACTTATAGGAGTGATGTCTAGGTTGGATTTAGTGAGGTGTTTAAAATGAGATTTCCAAATAGTATACTTTGTATACCAAACAGATCCTACCTCCGATATGATCCTACCCGATTATTCCTTACTTGATAGATCTTGATGAAGGCAATGAGATCGTTGAGGAATCTAAACCTTTAGAATAATAGTTCATAAATCATGAAACTAGACTAAGACTTAGCGTTATGTGTATCTAGGTCTTTTGGAAAAGTGTTAAGGCGAAGCGTTTTCCTTACCCCAAGTTACCTACTTTTTTCAGGTGAGTTCGTAGTTACTTTCAAGAACATAATTTAGTAAAAGTATTTATTAAATGCTATATGTTTTATTTATACTTTGTGCTACTTGTATACCTATAATAGTAATACGTACTAAGAGCTGTACTAGACATAGTTTGCCTTTAGTATATGTCTAGATTAGTTATAATAAGACTTGCATAAGGTGTTTAGTTACCAATAATTTGGACATTATTTAGGTCTCATTATGGGGTAGAGTGTGAGATTAGAGAGAAGTATAGCGGTCCTCCTTTTTTTGGATGACTAGAAATGGTGAGTCCAGATCAAACAACTGGCAAGTATATCTGGGTCATCAACCAGAGTTGTGACAACCGTCATATTCTAGTCGTGTCAAAGTCAGACAAAGTCAACGGGTCGAACCGATAAACTCAATTAGTGCTTGCACTACTAGGAAAACAGCCTTTTACGACGCTTATTGCGCGTCGTAAAAGGCTCAGACGACGCACAAATGCGCGTCAAGGAAGGCCCTGTCATAAAGAGAGACGACGCGCTTTTGCGCGTCGTCTATAGATGACGCGCATTTACGACGCTCATTTACGATGCGCAATTACGACGCGCGTTTACGACACGCAATGCGTATCAAGGAAGGCCCTGTCATAAAGGAAGACGACACGCATTCGCTTGTCGTAACCTTACGACGCGCGTGTTAATGACACACAATGCGTATCAAGAAAGCCCCTGTCAAGAAAGGCCATGTCATAAATGAAGATGACACACATTTTTGCGTATCATAATTTTAAATGTTTAAAAAAATATTATTTATAGATTTACTTATTTTCAAATTAAATTTGTATTTAATGTTTCATAATAGAAAATAAAATATGATATACAAAAAATAGAATCCATTGCATAAATTTAATGTTATACAATTGTATTTCTTACAATATATAAATTTGCATCTAATCTACTATGTACATCAAATTCCAACTAAGTAAAGTTTCATCTTGCCTTTCATAATTTTTTAAGACTAATGCTCCAAACAGCTGATTATATGGATAAGCAGTTGTACATTGGCCCATCTCACTCAATAATTACTTAGCCAAATTCAACTCACTTTCCAAGAGTTTTCTCATGTACAACAAGGCCAGTTCCAGTTCCTTCCAAACCTACACAAAGTATCACATCCAATTGGGAAGTAAATATAAGCATATCTTGCAGGGGTAAAATGGTAATTTGTGTAATTTTATTACCAAACACAAATTACCAGGCAAATACATAAGAACAGGAGAATCTTTTAGAGGCCTGTTACAGGCAACATGGCAAAACCATGTTGAGATCATGTTTGGAGATGATCATCTCCAAACATGATCTCAACATGGTTTTGCCCTGTTACCTGTAACAGGCCTCTAAAAGATTCTCCTATTCTTATGTATTTGCCTGGTAATTTGTGTTTGGTTATAAAATTACACAAATTCCCCTTTTACCCCTGCAAGATATGCTTATATTTACTTCCCAATTGGATGTGATACTTTTCTATGAAGAGCATTAACACTATTCTTTTGCATCAAAACTTCAAAACCTGCATAATTAAATTAATGTGTAATCACCTACAGGTCAATAAGGTAGGTTTAAGCAAAAGAGTTTCATAATAGTAAGATTTTACTTACCACTGTTGTTAATGACATTGAAAGAAGCAGCCCAACAAACACCCCCTCAGAAGGATTACTACCACATAACTGTTGATATTTGATACTTTATTACTAAATGAAACCAAAAACAAAGTTAAAAAGTCAACAAAATCAGAAGGTTTTAGTCAAACATAGAGAGGCTGTAATTCCAAATATTAATAAATGACATTGATTGAACCACCTGCAAATTTACCATTTTGTCCCTATGAGATTCACTACTAAACACATTCTACAGTTTGTAAGCTAATATATATATATATATATATATATATATATATATATATATATATATATATATATATATATATATATATATAAATGTATACATGTGCGATTTCTTCGGTGCTTGGCAAAACGTCTCTAAAGTAGGCATTCTTTACGTCCTTTGTGCTCCCGTTGGTTTGTTTTCGAAGTCGATTTCGACCTAAAACTCACAACATGAAAAACATGATATGAATTTGTGTTGTGTGTTTCTTTGAGGGTAGAAGAGTAATTTTACACATACCGTGCCGACAAGTGCGTAAGCTACAACCAAGGGAGGTGAAGCCAAGTAATTGGCTCTTGTTAGTGGGTGAACACGCAATTCAAAGTTTCTATTTCCAGAAAGCACAGCTACACCATACTGTAAGAGCAGCTCAATCATCCAAATATCTGCAGTTTCACAAGCAAGATGGAGGAGGGTGCACCCATGGAATTCCTCCATGCCAAGTCCTTGCACTTCACTGGTGCCTGCTACGGCTGCCATTGATGAGATTGAGATTGAATCACTACCCCCTGGGCCCGGGTCTTGCAACAGCATTGCCTTAGCAAGGGTTAGAGAAGAATTACAGAAATCTTGCATGTAAATGTAGTTCATGTCTGCTTCAAAGTTGAAGTCAAGAGGTTAAAAGTGTGATGAGCAACAGATTTCTCATCATGTACTCCGCCTCCACCATGGTGATGATGAGAAGAAAGCCAACGACTCAGCAGGCCATGACCGAGTTCAGAGCTATTCCTCTGACCAGATATTTGACTGCCAGAGCCCTGTTGTCGAAAATAAAAATATAGATATTTAATAAGTAAAGACTAAAGTAAAGTAAAGGAAGTTGAGTTACAGATGGTTTGAGGAGCGCTTGGAAAGATATCCTTGGCGAATGGTTTGAACCTTGCCCTTTGAGGCAGACTGCATGATCACCTGCTCTCCCGATCAATTTGTCTTTTGTACTCTTGCATTCTTTCGTTCAGAGCTGCTTGCTCATAATTTGATCTCTCTTGAGATTGTTGACCATATGTCAACACCTGCCCAGTTTTTTTATATTAAAATTAAAATAAAACACAACATGCATTCTTCTTTTCTTTTCTGTATGTCTGATCTCTAAACTAAAATAAATACCAAACCTGATTTATATACGACTCCATCTGATGCAAAAGCTCATATCCCTACAACAAGAATAATTCAGATTTAGATTTTAGAAAGCTCCACAAACACACACTAAAATTGAATTGTCTACCTGTTTGAGGTAACGAAGATGGGCATCCATTATACCGCTCACTGCTTCCAGAAATTCAAATCTCTTTTTTTCTTCAACATTAGAAAGTGTGGTAACCTAAATAACAAACCATGCAACAAGAATAATTCAGATAAATGATGCATGATTTCAATCGGTGTGTAGACATTTAAACAAATAGTTGGTGCACAACTGCAAATCACCAGAATTAGAGAAAGCTCTTGTACAAATCAAACCGAAGTACCCATAAAAGCTTTCAAAGACGTGTATTTTTTCACTAAAAATCGTAATTGTAAGGTGGGAATTTGAAAGAAATGATGAAAGAGTAGTGGGTATGAATATGATCGAAAATCTGCAACTTACAATGGATTTACTAGGTCTTTTTAGATATAATAAACAATTTTGACCTAGCTGCTAAAACATTATGAAGGGATTGTCACCCTTTTGTTTAGAGAAACAACCCAGGGTGTCTAGGAACCTCTTCATCCTTTTTACTATCTTTTACTTCTTTACCCTTTGTTTCACCTTTAACATCCTTCTCTTTTTTCACTTTCTCCTCCTTTAACTTCTCCTCAGTTTCCAATTTTTCATTACTGTCAGACTGGACAATAATACCCTTCGTTTTGGAACCCATTTTACCTTTCTTTTCATCTTTTTTCTGCTCAGGGGCAACACTTTGTTCCTCCGCAATAGTTACTTTTGATTTATCTACCACTTTATCTTTAGCAACAACCTTTTTTTTTTCACAACCCTTTTTATTATTTTCTTTTTTATAGTTTTTTTCACACTTGTAAGACTTTCTGTATCTGCACTCTTTGGCTTGATTTCAGAACTCTCTTTCTCTTTGACAGGTGTCACTTCAGATTGTGTCCCTACATCTTCTTTCTTAACAGATTTCACCACATGAACCTTTTTTATAACTTTCTTTTTTGTAAGAGTTTTCACAGTAGGAGTATTACCAGTTGACTCTTGACCTTGACCTTAACTTTGACTTTGACTTTGACCTGCAGTCTCTGTCTCTGTAGAAGTCTCTCCCACATTCTTGGAATCTAATAATGTATCAGTTTGTTTGGTTGTGTCTCCTGCTTTATCTTTTTTAACAACCTTCTTTTTTATAACTTTTCTGATAATTTTCTTTTTTCCACTACCAGTTTTCTTTTCTACAGAGTTATTCCCTTCGCCAGGTGTCTCAACCACATTTGTCTTCTCTATATCTACTGCATTAATATGAACTCCTACGTTTTGCAGGTTCTTTGACTTTATCTTTTGCCATTTCTTTTAGTTTTGATGCTGACTCATCAGATTCAGGCACTTTCTCTTTTTCTAATTTTGCATCCTTCTTCAGATCTTTGGGTGTCCCAGGTTCCTTATCTAAGCAGAATCAACAGAGTTATAAAAGGTAAACTTACAACATTTTTATAAAAATAAATAACTTTCAGGTATGATAATATCAATAAGTTAGTTACCTTTCAATCCTTCCTTCTTTCCTCGAGCTATCTATATAAACCAAAACATATGATGGAAGAAACAACTTTTAGTTTCAATATGTTAGTTTCATCTGTCCTTTTTTCTAATCTATTCTTATATATATATATATATATATATATATATATATATATATATATATATATATATATATATATATATATATATATATATATGTAAAATATGAAGCAGTAACAGTATACCTCTCTTTTAAGAGCATATCGATGCTCTCTCTCAACAATAGCTTTCTTGTGTGAAAGCCATTGATCCCTCCATGCATATGTTGAAGGTAAACAATCTGATAAATCAGGAACATAGAGTACTGTGACCTCCTTATGGCTAAATATTCCATCTTTTTTAACTCGGTCATAATGAATCTGCAAAAATGGACATAATCAAATGATTAGATAACAAGAAAATCTAATTAATTAATTAGATAAACTCTCGAAACAATAACGGATTACCTCGAGGAAAGGATTCCAATGTTGGCAATTTTTCAAATCAAGTCCTGTGAGGTCTTTGGCATACCTACACAATATAAATCAATAAACTAGAAATCTGTAAGGGGGGGGGGGGAGGGAATATACAAGTTATCATGCAAAAACAAACCTAAGAGCAGTGTGAACAAGAGTGGATTTGTCAACTGAAGGATCATTGCCATCTGTGGTTTCCCACAAGCCTCCAATTGCCTTGAAAGTATTCCCATTTTTAAGAGAAGCAAACCTAATCATGTTGCAAAAATGGGGAATTCAAGTCATTAATAAAATCTGAATCAAAGCATTTTGACTGAGTCCACTCATTAATATAATCTGAATCAAATAAGCAAAAGAAATTACAAATTTTAATCTCAAATTCAAGTCAGAAATCTAGGAGAGAAAATATATACCTTTGCATTCCACCGAGTGTGCTCTGATTTTACAGGGTCGTCAACCATTGTTTTAATGGATGCCTCTTTCTGCTGAGTTTCTTGAAGAGTTGAGTTTTGTGCATACATTTTGGAACAAAGATAGATGTGAAAGAATGATGATATTCTTTTTGACTGTTTCTATCTACTTACAAGGTCTGGTAAATGAGAACCAATAGCAACAAGTAGGGATGAAGCATCCCTTTACCAATCAGCTTTTATTTCCTACATGGCATATTAAAAGATAGATGCCAAACAATATTATAAGCACTTCAAGATCTGGTTCAATACAAAAAGTTGATCAGCATCAATTAATAGAAAATTTAAGTTATTATACTTAAATGCAAATATCAACTAATTATTCAGTTTAATTTTCTTTTGAAAAGTTTCATGCAATTTAGATATCATAAGAAATCTTCAAAAAGATTAGGTACTCTATTTTATGAACCAGGTGCAAGCCAACTCTAAGTTTACAAGACCAGATTGTATATAAACAAATTTGCACAGTCAAGGGCATTTCAAACTTTGATTTTTTTTCATATTAACAAAAATTGCTGGTTTACTATCACACCACAAGCACAACATTACAAATTGTAAAAATATATGGTAACACAGTTGTGTTTAAGTATCTTATGAAACATGGTTAAGTGTTTAGCTGATATAGGCAAAAGAATGTAAAAAATGCAATTAGGGCTATGAAAAAAAACGAATTAGGGCTAGAATAATCTGAATCAGGGGAACAGAAAGAGTCAAACGTTCAATCAAATACCTTATACACTTCAAATTGCCAACTCTAAGAAAACAATAAGATCAGTGCAATAGAGAGGCGCTTGGTGAAGCAGCGGAGATGAGTCTGATGAAGGAATTGGGGTATCGCTGGAAGAAGAGAGAGGAAGGTGGCATAGGGAAGGAATTGGGGGAACAAGGGAAGAGGCGAAGGACATATAATGGATTGCAGTTGACCTATAATAGGAAAATGGAGTTATCTTGACCAAAAATCACGATCCACTGGATGAATATGCTTCACCTTCTGCATGCCATATGTTTTTCTCTAACTTTTCATACACACACACGTTCAATGGGTTTTGAAGAAGAAACAATCGTTTTGGGATATAGATGTTTTGATGGATGATGGATGCGGTGGGATACATGTTTTGAATCGATACCACAAGCCCTAATTTGAGAAGACGGTCTGATCTTAGGGTTTCAAAGGGGACAAAGGTTCGTAGATCGGAGATGTAGGATTTCGAGTCGAAGTTAGGGCTTAGGAATGAGGAAAGAGAAAGCACACAGAAAAAGTGTGTTTGTGTGTGTTTTCCGATAAGGGGCAACAAAAAAAATCAGTTATGTTTCTCCTTTGTTCTCTCGGCTAGATAGAGATATCAACATCAAAGAGAGGATTTAGAGAGGAATTTACAGAATGCACGGAGAGAGGGGTGAAATAAGATCTAATGGTCATTGAACTCTCGGAATCAAGCCCTGTGACTTCTGATCAACACAAGGAGGCTTGTTGTGCGAGACAGATCACAAAGAAGATCTGATGTTCGTTAAACCTGACCTAGGGCTTGTAAACTTGAGCATCTGTGGCGGTCTCCGTCGAGGTAAGGTTAGCCCAAGCTTGCCGGCGAAAAGAGATGAGTCGAGATTGTTGGTAGATGAGGTGAGCCAAGGTAGAGAACGTTGTAGAGAGCACTCCCATCTTTAAAAGAACCCTAGAATGATCCCTTTGATTTTTTTGATAAAATAAATAGTCTGGAGGCGCATTCAAGAATTATAAAGCGACATACATACACGACACGCCTTTTATGATGGGTGCCCTCCGTGTTTTTATTTTTATTTTTTTCTGACATAAATTTTAGGGCACGTAAAAATGCGCGTCCAAAACCCTTCAAAATTTTGTAGAGATGACTTTATTTTGACGTCACACGCTTTTGCGTATTGTAAATTCGTGCGCGTCATAAATTGCACGTCATTAAAGGCCTTTTTTCTAGTAGTGTTGTATGATATGGTTTATTCTATGATTCCTAATGTACAACTCTATATGATAATACAAAGTGTCACTCAGAATTTTGAAATGTTCATAAATTCTAAAGCCTAACCAGAGTGAGTGATTTAATGACTCTATAAAGCGCTATTAAGTACCCTTCGGGGGTGTAAAACACTCTGAACAAGGCATAATGGGGTTTTCGACCCTTGCGTTACGGGGCCAAACACAAACAAAGGCTACAAACCAAGTCTCTATCAATCTCTCCCACTCTATCTCTACCTCCCTCAAATCTCTCTCAAAATCTCTCCCAATCTATCTCAAACCAGTTGGTAATAAAAATCACTTTTTCCAATGTTTATGTGAACATCCATGCCATCCCGAACCTTCCCTTTCTTGAAAACAACTTAAAACGGAGGAAGGAAGTCAAAAAGAGGCATGAAGGTTCACAAGTCACTGTTCACCTGCAAACCCTCGCAGGCCCTCGCGACCACCTAAGCCATTTCTCTTCTTAGTCAAAGTTCGTTTCTAGCCGGGAGATCTCGCACAAACCTCACATTCGTACGAAGAACCAAACACTTTCGCATACAGAAGCCTTCACAACGAACCGAGAACGTTCGCATCTTCAGTCGCCTTCGCACCAAGCGCCACCTTCATGCCTACTTCTTCTCGCTGTGAACCCTCACCCTTATGCGAACCCTCACCCTCCTAAGAACCCCCTCTCACCTTCGCTTCTCCTTCCTAGTTTTTGACCACTTTCGCATTTTAATACCGTTTTGGATTATTTTAACGTGGGAATTCCACCAAATTCGTATTTTCATCATTTTAAACCATCCAAACTCATATTTTTTTTTCCATCATGAAGATTTATCATTTATAGATCATATCTTTTGTTCAAGATATTATGTAAATGCTTGTTGACTTTTCCATAAAGTTATGACACCAAGCAATCCCCATACCCACTTTATGTCACTATTCACACTCTACCTAGTCAAATCATTGTCCTTTTTCTACTCTTTCCAACACTCCACCAGGTTTCCTTAATCAAATCCACTTAATAAATTCTATATTCTTCACATTTTCCAAGATCTCATTTGCCCTTATCCAAATACAAGCAATTTCTCTCTCTCTCTCTCACTCTCTCTCTCTCACTCTCACTCACTCTCTCTTTTCTTCTCTCTGGGACTCAAAAACCCGAGGAAGTCTCGAGCTCTTACCCCATTCTTGATAAGTTCTTCATTTTGACTCCTAAATATTCTACATTATTAAACAAATCGTGATCATTTACACAAATATTCATATATTTGTTCATAGTATTGTCAAAACCTTAAGTGTTGTTCAAGTGTTCTTGACTTGAAATCCTTCATCCTCAACCTTCCAATCTACAAAAAAACACTTAAACTAAGTTCATACCCCCATCTTTTCTCGTTTTCTTCAAGTTTTAAGGGGGAGAATACAAGATACAACACCAAAACATACTCTAACTCCATTAATGGCTTTCAACAGAAAAGTTATGACCCATTCTCGAAATGTTTTGACCATCTTAAACTTAATATTTTTCAAAACTGTTCAATATGTGTTGGGGCTTATTATGTTGCGTCTTAGGGCTTTTTGTATTGTATCCGAATTGGGCATGTCCATCCGTGATTATCTCGTAGGGTTAGACTATATATATGCATGCATGTATGCATTATTGTTAGACGTCTTTTTAATTACGCTTGAGTTTTGTAACCCTAAAACACCTCTACAGTCGAAGTTCTTAATTGAGCTATTCTGAGGTGTTGAAGCATTAATCCTTCAACATATTCAAGCCATATTCGTGTTTATATTTACGTACTTATTTGTTTGCATGCTTAGAATCAATCGATCCTGAAAGAACTACGTTCTAACAATTGGTATCAGAGCAAGAGACTGTGTGATCAATACACATTCCTTCTATATTTAGAATTCCTTAGGGTTTCTGCTTTTATCGTATAAATAAGAAGTCGTCTTCTTTATTTTGACGGCAACTTTGTTTTAGATAAAACCCTAATATCAACTTTACAGGTTTGATTCTAAAATCTCACCATGTCTCATGAAGAGTCTCAAACAAAGCCCATCAACATCTCAAACAGCATTGGATCTACAACCAGGATACCCATTCTCTACACTCAAGACTACAAAGTATGGGCACATCACTTCAAAGACTATGTGGTTGGATCTGAAGAAAACGAATATCTCATCTGGGAAGCGATCACACTTGGGTCGTTTGTTCATTCAGGAACAAACACAACCGTCAAGACGCAAAAGGAATATAACAAGTTGGTTGCTGATGAACAGAAGATGCCACAGGATGAAAAAGACAAGCTGCTGTGTAATGTGAAGGGTATGAGAATGATAAGATTCACCTTGCAATCTGACACTTTTTGGTTGGTCGGTTCATGCACGACGACTAAAGAAATGCGGGATAGGTTGAAGGAGTTTTATTCGATTGATGAAGATCTAGAACACTCCATTCAAACCTTGCTACTGTCAGAATTTGGAGTTTTCGAACAGAAACCTGATGAGAAGCTAATACAGACTTTTGATAGTTCAATCATCTCTCAAGTAAGATGATAAAGCATGGAATAGAGAGGAAGTTGATTGAGCAGAAAGTAACGTTCATGAACAGACTCAGACTAGAATGGATGGCTATGGTCTCTACTGTAAAAGCGCATGAACAATTTAAGTCTTACTCGCTAGAAAAACTTGTGGGAATACTTAAGTCCCATGAAAGTGTCATAACCAAAGAAGCAAAAGTGGTTTCTGGTGTAGGATCGTTGGCTCTTGTCTCAAAAGCAAAAGGTATTGCAGAAGATGAAGAAGAGTCGGATTTGTTTGAGTGTGACCTTACAAGTGAGGAATATGCTATGATGGTCACCAATCCAAAGAAGTTTGCAAGAAGAAAATTTCCGGTCAGTAAGAACCGAAACTGGAAGGGAAGTTACAGCTCTGAAAAACTGAAGGATGAAGCGAAGATCTCTTCTCAAAAGGATGAAGACAAGAGGGAGAGCAAACTTGCAGGATACTCTGGATACGACTGCAATTATTGTCATGGCAAGAACCACTTTGCCAAGGATTGCATGCTGAGAAAAATGGCTGAGAAAAGAGATGGTGAAGATGATGAGGCATACTACATGCGCAAGCTGGAAAAAATTAAGAACAAGAAGACAACTAACAGTGAAAATGGTACTATGAATTCTTTGATTGTGCAGGAAAATGCTGATGAAAATGAGTTCGGTGGCATGGAAGTTTGGTCAACCGAATCTGAAGATGAAGAGGTGAGAAAGCCCTCTCATGGAAAGGCTTATGTAGCAAAGGAAGTAGGTTCGGCTGGGAAGTGCTTAATGGTCACCGCTGGATCATCAACCAAAAGTGCAGAGGAGGAACTGAACCTGACTGAAAACAAGTGTTTTGCAACAAAGCCAGTCAGTGAGCAGATCAACAACTGTGATCGTTTGATCAAAAAGGTACAATCCATCCTTGAATAACTTAAAGTTTCATTAACTAATTATGAAGAAGAATTAAATGAATTAAAATTTAAATTCACTAACTTAAATGGTAGTCTCATGTAAACTCGCTTAGCGAATTCTAACCTAACTGACCAACTCAGCAGGGTGTCATCAAAGAGTGAGGAGAGAAGGATGTGGATTGAGCTGAAGGAGCAGGAGTTAATTAGAGTTAGGGATGAAAGTTTTTATTTGCAAAAAGACAATTTGAAGTTTTTAAAATAGATAAATGTTTTTTGTTTAATTGCTAAGCGTTTATATACTAATATAGCTCAATTGCATTTAAGTTGTGAGATAGGAAAGAAAATTCATAATATGATTTTGCCATTCCTTGAATTCAAGGAAGAAGAGGTCATAGCAGAATGTGAATCAGAAGTATCATTAGAAGAGACGTCCATATCCTACAAAATTGGACTGGATAAAATAGAAACCTTCATTGATTCAAAGGAACACAAATGTATGTTAAAAGACATTTTAGATGAAAATGATAAGTTGAAAATTAAGTCGGATACTATTCACTCATTTGACCAATCCAATGCCAAACTAGCTTCTGAAAATAAAACAGACTTAGAAAATACGTCCGAATTTGATGAAGAAAGTGAAATGAGTGAGATATCTGTAGAAGACGTAGTTGATTACTCTGAGTTTATGAAGAGCGAAACTGAGAAAGAGAAACCACTAATCTCAGAAAATTCAGTGGAATTTGCTCATCTAGCAAAGGATAAGGAAAATAAGGTCAAGGAAAAGGCTATAATTTATCAAAAGGTTCAAACTATGCCTAATCAGGTATATGCAGCTAGAGGAGTCACTTCTAGACAAACAACAGAACTAAGAGTCTTGGTGGAAAAACACAATGCAGAAGGGTGCAAAGATTTCTTCTGGTCTGCTCCTATTGATAATGCAAACGAAACTGTAGGCTTATCTGAGAAGACTTCTTGGAGAGTTAAAGGAAGATACATAGCTGAACCCATAAACAAACCCTCAAGTTTTGACAAACCAAGCACAAGTGGAACCAAAGAAATCCCTGTGGAACCAAAAGAAGAACCGAAAGTTCGAGTCAAAACAACCGAAACTCCAAAAGAGAAATCAAAGGCCAGCTTCCATATCCATAAATCACAGAAGGAGCTAGTTGAACAGAAATGCTTAAGAAATCAAAGATATGCAAAGAATCTGAATGAGCGAAAGAGTTACTGGCATTCCTAAAATCCCAACT